CAGCCATGCTGGTTTCTTTTGAGAGCTGTTATTTTTCCTCTTTGTTGGTATTGAGGTAGACTGGGCTTCTATAATCTTGCTTTTCAAAATTTCCCAAGCTTCTTGCGTTGTTTTTCCCTGGAGGATTCTCATCCATGGAATCTTTCCCAAGCCCTCTCTGAGTTTATTGAAATTAGCTCTCTTGAAGTCCAAGACTCTACTTTGACTATGTTCTATTGCTTGTGCTTCCATAATGTTGAATTCCAATATTGCATGATCACTACCTCCCAAGGTTCCTGTGGCTTCAACACCTTCTATCATTTCATCTCTGTTAGTGAGAATTAGATCCAAAATGGCTAATCCCCTAGTTCCCTTCTTTACTTTTGGGGAGACAAAGTTGTCTGCTAGGTTTGTCAGGAATCTGATTGATCTTCCACTTGGTGCAGAGTTTGTCTCCCAGTTGATATCAGGGTAATTAAAGTCCACCATTACTATGGTGATGTGCTTTCTACATACCTTAGTTATCTGACTAGCAAAAAGTTCATCTATTTCCTTTGTTTGGTTGGGTGGCCTATAGTATACACCTATGGCAATGTCATTTTTTCTCCCTTTTATATTGACCCAAATGCATTCAAGTCAGTTTTCGTCATTGTTGTGCTCTATTTCTGTGGAGACGTAGTTATTTCTTATATAGAGAGCAACTCCACCTCCTCTTTTATTTGATCTGTTTCTTTTAAATAATTTAAATCCCTCTAGCTGTGTGTTCCATTTATGGGTTTCATCCCACCATGTTTCTGTAATGGCAACAATATCATATCTGCCCTCATTGACCTGAATTTCTAGTTCATTTATTTAGTAAAAAAAAAAGGTTCTTTAAGAGAGTTATGGTATTTCCTATGTTTTTTTCTTGTTCTGATCTAAATTATTTAATTTTCATTTGTTTTTTTTTCATGGCAACTCAAAAGAGAGAAAATATATTGCTGTTTTATGAACTTCAAGAAATAAAATTCAAAAATCTGAAACTATGCAGCATCCGCCAAACTAGTATTAAAAAAAATCTTTCCCCTTCTCCCAATATACACTAATAGCAATAGCATGTAGACTTATATACTC